TCATTAGTTGAAACTGTTTAATGAATGTTTAATAAAGCTTGAATAATATAGCGACATAAATATATCCGATGTATATTTTACATTTATTTTTTCATAACGCTAATTTTTTTTATATTCGTTGCATTTTATATAAGTACCGTCCAATAAAAATTTATTAATATTGCAATGAATTGAGCAAGCGCAAATTTGTAAAACGAAGACGATGTAAACAAAAAGAAGCTCTTTTTAATTTAAATTATATTATGAATTTACAGACGAACTTTTTTGAACGTATGTAATTCCTATCTCTTATTACAAATTAAAAAAAAATGTGCATAGTTAGCAAGACAAATTAAAGATTAACATTTTATGATCGCTGCGGATATTATCACATTGGAAAAAATTATTATAAAAGATTTGTTGTACGTGTTCCCCGCACGCAATTTTTAGTGATAAATTATACGTTTACAGAGTACGATAACAGATTTCCATTAACATGAGATAGGGTAATTAAAGGGATTAATGTGCCTGCATCGATGAGATATAAAGTATCTAATATCATTATATTGTATGAATATATATATATATATATATTCTCTCCTCGCATATATTATATATCCGATGATGCGCACATCATGCAAAATACACTTCCGCACTGATGCTTTTTAATTGGCGCGGATATTGTCGCGATTACATCGCCATGACATGAAAATAACATATTCATTACAAACACAGATTTTCATTAGTTGAAACTGTTTAATGAATGTTTAATAAAGCTTGAATAATATAGCGACATAAATATATCCGATGTATATTTTACATTTATTTTTTCATAACGCTAATTTTTTTTATATTCGTTGCATTTTATATAAGTACCGTCCAATAAAAATTTATTAATATTGCAATGAAATGAGCAAGCGCAAATTTGTAAAACGAAGACGATGTAAACAAAAAGAAGCTCTTTTTAATTTAAATTATATTATGAATTTACAGACGAACTTTTTTGAACGTATGTAATTCCTATCTCTTATTACAAATTAATTTATTTTATTTTTACATATTACATCAATTAATAACGAAGAATAAAGCCTATATATTGCAATATATTGCAATATTGCATAGCTCATTGTTATAAAATTTATTTAAAAATATCAGACGTACAATATATATAATATCGAGTATTTTATATCAGCAAATATGTATATAAAAATATCTTTCTAATCAATTTAATTATATTATCTAAAGTTTGTATATAATTTGCTGAGAAAAACGCTAACGATAATTTTCTTTTTGCTGATAGAAACAAATTGAAACTTGTAAAACCTGGATTTAGTTACTTGTACTTTTACGTTTATAGCAAAATTTAACTTTGCAAATCGTTTACTTTAACGTGCAAGATGTCACGAACACTCGTGCCTCGACTAATAGCCGATCTATAGATCGCGGTGTTCGTGCACGCCGCTCGTCACGTAAGTTCAAGTAGCTGTTGGTACTCGGTGTGAACAGATATTCACACTCACATCTTTCGCCAGCGAGGAATCGAAACGAAACCTGGTAGCGAACCGAAGCGGTACGCGGTCGCGCACGCGCCACCAGATAGAGCGGAACGGGGGATGGTTTATCTCCCTGGCGCCATAAACGTTGCAGATATTATGGATAGTGGACTGAGTTACGGGCTAATATTTCTTCGTAATTATATTCTACGCTTTTACGCAAGAGAGAGAAGGAGAGATAGCATCGCGGAAAGGAGCCGGGTATATATAAGGGCGCCTATATGCGACGTACCATCTTTCCGCGTGGTCTTCACCCTCCCTTCGCGACTTTCACGTCCGAATTTAGATCCCGTTTTTTTATTACCCACCCTCGTACGTAATATTGGCTTTTTTACGACCCGCGATCAGCGCAATCGATTTATCGACGCCGTTTATAGGCTTAACCGTGGTCTCATCTTGCGCATTGTCTTATCGTCCGTCATTGTCATTGTCGTCGCGATTGAAACGCAAGAAAAAAAGCAAGAAAAATAAGGAGCGCGTTAAAATGCTTTCATGAAGCAGGCTGTAATTTTATATAGATTTTTTTTAATGCAACTTGCAGCCAGCGTGGTTATTTGAAGTTTTCTCTCTCGTTATATTGCCATTTTCAAATGAAACTATAACAAGGTAGCTGGATTTAATTTCAGTTACTTTTTCAAAACCACTATCTTTTTCTGTAGCTCGAAATGAGCAAAATACAGCTTCAAGTGAGATTTATCTTGTTAAAATGTGAGATTGCGTTTACATTTAATTTATTTTTTACTTAACGTATGCAAAGTTATTTTTCGAGGGGCCGTCTTTTTCGCGTTTCTCTATAGAGAACACCGTCGACGTTATTTATTGGACCGACATTTTATCTCAAATAGATCGCAGTGGTCTCTCTTCGAGATTGGCAAATAAATAAGATGGCCAATAGAATAAGGATGAAAGAGCCGACAGAATGATCGAGGAAGAAATGGAATAGGCATGTAAAAAATTATTTCATTGGTAAAGCGGAGAGAAATTCGACAAGAGATCGTGCAAGATCATGCGTATCATCCATCAATATAGATCAGTCTATTATTTGACGTTTCAAAGAGCACTTAGTTGTCACCGAAGCAAATATCTCGAGCGAATAGCAAGCGAAAGTTGTAGAAAAGGGATAAAGATAAAAGCGAATAATGGCGCTAAAACGTATATATATTTATTTGTTATATCATAGAGTTATATAACCGCGTAATTGTTTTGCATAAAAGCTTATATAGCTTCATGTATAAGAACAGTATTATTAAAAAATAAAGATTAAATTTAAAGTGACTTGATAACTATGAAGAATATTGAGAATTGAAATGTGCCAAGAAATAATTAACATTTGTATGCAGAGAGTGTCTTTCATTGTTGTTCGCTGTTTTGAGAAAGAATTTTCCGGCGATATTTTCGCCCGGCGTGTTCATTCGTAATGAAAGTCGTAAATGAGAAGAAAAGAATACTCCGAGATAATGAAGGCTATGGATAGCATAGTTTGCGCGTAATTGTTCGCGAGAATGTTCTTCTTTTCTTTAGGGATCGACCGGCAAAAGGATTCGCCGAAGTTAATTCCTCATTATTTTGTTACCCCTGGCGACGATTAAGGAAACGTACCGTAGCATTAAAATTGCTACAAAGGTCGCCGATTAATTCGAGAATATTATTTAGAGAATTCACGAATTAATTTCCTAAGCCTTACAAGCCTTACTTCGACAAAATTTTCTTGTCTATTTTTGTGCTCAGTCTTGAATTTGATCGTTACATTCCATTGGAAAGAGAGAAAGAAAGAGAGGGGTAGGGGATAAAAAATTGAGCTTTTTTTAATAAAATTAAAAAGAAATTATAAAATCTTACTTATGCGAGTAATTTTTTATTTTCATATCTCTTACATGATTAAAAAAATATTGATTTTCATAGAAAATCAGGTTTTTTTTTTTTTTTTTTAATAAATTGTTACTTAACTGTTTCTTGTAACACTCATTGTTATCCACATTACTTTTAGTTCGTAAATTTCTCTTTTGTACATCACAAGAAATACAATTACATGCTTTTTTTCTTCGTGGCGTTTGTCTGTTTCTGTACTCATTAAGTTTTTGTGTTTATACTTTTGTGTCTGTTCTAGAAATAGCTTCGTAAATTTAAAACTCCATCCAATTATATTCTCATTAATTAAACTTAATTATGTTACCAATTTCAGTTCACTGCGAATGCCGCATCCAACGAGTGTTTTAAAAGTCGGACCAATTTTTTTGTTTTTTAATTACTTGAATGTAGCTCGTTACTGCGGCTGAGCGTTTACCGATTACGTGCACGTTCTACGTCCTACTGCGAGTGTTCGCTCGTTGGTAAATGCAGTGCAGAATCGTAGCAACAATAGCGTTACAGCCGGCGTTGTTATCAACGAAAAGATGCTTTTCAAACTGATAACGTGACTTTATTGTTTGTTCTGCGCTATTGTATCGAGTTATTTCCAATCGATAAAAGATTCGAATTAATGAAAGCATTGTAGATACGTATAATTATTTTTCCGATTACTGTCTTGAATATATTCATCGAGTATTTCTCATAAATCAAAATCTCGTTATTAACGACAGACAATAGAACGGCTAGATTTTTTTCGGATTACTCGTATTTTACACGGTGTAATTAAACGCTACGGCTCTCGTTCGATTAAAAAACTATTTTGGAAAGTGCAAAAATTATTTGGGTAAAGGATGAGCGTGCGCTTCAGGCAAATGCGTAGATTACTTTGCGAGAATGACTACGTTTGCATCCAATTTATGGATTTTTTTTTTGTATTTTTTAATGTCTGACGCACATGTAAACGAAGTCATTTCGCGAAATTTGGCTCAAAAGGTTCGATTGCACGCGTTGCGGGCTATTTTTCGTGTCGAGTACTTCTATTTTGAAGTGAAGTACTATGGCAAAGTTTAATTGGAAATATCCGATCGCGTTTATTGGCGTCCGCTACCAGGGATAGCATAAATAAAATACTATTATGAATTTCATTTTGAAAAACATATTTGATCCCATCGAATATGTTTGTTATATCCGGCGAAACATCAATTATTTATTAATATATAATGATGTTTGTGCGGGAACATATTCTTATACTCCGTACCGATTATTAACGGAAAGTTATGTATTGCATTCAATAAATGCTTCTCGTATATAAGAGTTCGATTTACATGCATATATCCTAACAAAAATAATTGCCATTCTATGATATGCGGATTGTTACATCTTTAATAAATGCAAGATTTATCGAAATTATGAATATAATTCATATTAAAAAATACTCTATATTCCATCAAGGTTTTCTACACGTTGAGAAAGATATATATAAATTAAATGAAACATATATATATATATATTATTTATCTTTTTTATTTATTAAACCATCACACACATTCTGTATGGCATTTAATACGCAGATTATAAATATCACATTTTTCAATCATTGCAATATGTTTGTGTTTTCAGGATGGTCCGCATGATCGGCGATGAATTCCTCACGGAGGAACGGGACCGAAAGTATTACGCCGATCACTACACATGCTGCCCGCCGCCTCTCTTCATCATTCTCATCACCCTCGTGGAGGTAAGTAGATAAAGTTATCCTATCTCGTAACGAACATGTACGGGGCGCGTCGGATAATGCATATGTGTAGTATCAGTTCTTTTGCTCTTTTGTCCTCGCGTTCTCGGTCGTGATTAATAAATTTTTAATGAGATTATTTACGCGCGCAAACGGGTCAACGATGCAAACACAATGGCTATGTCAATGTGCCATTAACCCGTATTACCTTTTTCTTTAATTTATCATTTGGTGTTATCCCTTTCTCTAATCCCCCTCTAATTTCTTGAAAAATCTTCGACACATGCTAGCATTGCATCTATTAGAGATGGAATGTCTAATATCATATCTGTAATTCTTTTACTGCTAAATTGAATATCTGATAACAAAATGTAATTCTTTTAATGAGCTTAGTAATAATCTCTCTTTAACTTGTGAATCTCTCTTACATAATTTATACATTTATATAAAGCAGAGAATTTTTCATTCAGAATCAATAGTTTTGCAATACTTATTGTCACGTTATTTTCACAATCTTTCAATGAAATTATGTTTTCTGTAACTATACTATATTAGATTTAATATAAATCATAATTAATATAAATTATAATTATAATTATACAAATCTTATATTATTTTTGCCATTTTGAGGATCCATCTTTCTTACTGTACATGTTTTTTTTCCAGTATTTTGGGTTACACATTAACTTGAAGGGTCTTAATTTTTTCCATGCTATATAAATACACGTACGTTAGTAATATTGTATTATGTTATCAAAGATTACAGTTTGTCCAGCGATAGGGAACACAAATCTAATATCTTTTGTGGTCAAAGAGTTAACCGCATCTGTGAAAAAGCCACGCGTCTGGTCGCTTCTCTCGTGTTTCGTTATTTTTTACATTTTTGCCAAGATGAATAGATGAAATAATCGTCCTTCTTGTAATAAACGCGCTAGATATTACGCATGTGCGTATTAGCTCACCTTCCTTTGATCTTTGCGCAGATCCTCGTCTTGACTAATATCTGCTTTGAGCCCTTCTTGCCTATCTGTTTTTTTTCTATCGCCGCTCGTTCTAATGATCATTCTTTCACTTTTTTCTTCCTTTTCATTCCCTTGTAGCACGCGCGGTGTGAAGATCTTTGAGATAGATTTATTCTGCCAGCCGACCTCGTTAGGCGACGATTTTAATCTTCCGCAAAGTAATTCGATATTCGTAAGTCGCGCCCTCGTTAAAAATATGCTCCACGATCCGGAGGGACAGATATCTTGCGCACTAATACTAATTAAAATTACATCATTATTATGTCACGCCTTTATCACGCTCGGGTGGCGCTATTATAGGTATTAAAGATTGATTTAATATAATCGGTAATGTTTTAAACAAGATGGGCAGCTGAATAACGGGCGCGCGCGCGCGCGCGTGTGTGTGTGTGTGGGCGCACACGCGAATCTCTCTAAATTATTTTTATATACATTGGAATGAGAGAGAATATATACACATCGCATTACTCTTCTGTCATATTATGATCTGCATACGATAAAATTTTAATGGAGGTATATTATAAAAACATTTGTCAAACGTATCGACCGCTCATGTGAAAAGTGATGCGATTATATTTTTAAATCGGCTTTGAAACTCATTCCGCGGTTTTATTGCAAAGTATTATTCCGAATGTTTAGAATAAAAAGCGTACTTAATTGCCACTGCTTGGTCGTCATATTTCACGATTTAATTAAATCGCGCTTCTTTCTTTGCTAAAAGGTAGCGCGTTCATAATTTCATCGAATGGAAGCTAAAACTGGATTTTAGCTTGCAATAAGCGAAATGCAAATGAATGAACAAAGAAGAAAAAAAAAATGTCGCAATATTAAACCGATGAGCGAATTGGGCTTGTTTATACATAAGAAGATGTCTATATAATTTTTAAATGCAGTACCTCTCTCTTTCACAGGTGCTCTTTTTATTAATTTCTTTGAAGCCGCGAGCTGCTCTATCATATTGCACGAAGTCAGAAAAAAAGTCGTTCTCTTTTTTGCTCAGTTTGCTATCAATTTTGTAATTCGCCAGTCAAAGCATTTTTCGTTAATTAAAATTCCCTAGTACTTCGTGTCATAAGCATTAATGTTGATAATATTATACCCGGATTGTATATGTGCAACAAGTCGCGCGCTTTGCTTTTGGAAGCGAAGGGGATTAATAACTTTAGATAGCTTATATAAGATAATTTATTCTTCGCAATTATAAAGTAATGCTGACCGTTGATAACAGCAGAGAGAGAGAGAGAGAGAGAGACAAATGAAAGTAAAAGCGTACTTAATTGCCACTGCTTGGTCGTCATATTTCACGATTTAATTAAATCGCAAGTATCGCAAGTATCGCGCTTCTTTCTCTGCTAAAAGGTAGCGCGTTCATAATTTCATCGGATGGAAGCTAAAATTGGATTTTAGCTTGCAATAAGCGAAATGCAAATGAATGAACAAAGAAGAAAAAAAATGTCGCAATATTATACCGATGAGCGAATTGGGCTTGTTTATACATAAGAAGATGTCTATATAATTTTTAAATGCAGTACCTCTCTCTTTCACAGGTGCTCTTTTTATTAATTTCTTTGAAGCCGCGAGCTGCTCTATCATATTGCACGAAGTCAGAAAAAAAGTCGTTCTCTTTTTTGCTCAGTTTGCTATCAATTTTGTAATTCGCCAGTCAAAGCATTTTTCGTTAATTAAAATTCCCTAGTACTTCGTGTCATAAGCATTAATGTTGATAATATTATACCCGGATTGTATATGTGCAACAAGTCGCGCGCTTTGCTTTTGGAAGCGAAGGGATTAATAACTTTAGATAGCTTATATAAGATAATTTATTCTTCGCAATTATAAAGTAATGCTGACCGTTGATAACAGCAGAGAGAGAGAGAGAGAGAGAGACAAATGAAAGACGTAATTATCATCAAATTAATTATCACAAAAAATAAATATTGATATACAAATTCAAATTTATAATACAATTGTTAAAATAATTATTTAAAAAACTATTAATGTTAGTCAAAATTATACAGGGTGTTCCAGATCAGGTCAATGAAACTTCAGGGTTTTATAGGAGATTGAATTTGGAACAAAAAAGTTCCTATAAACATAGATCCGGAAGTGTTAAAAAGTTATAGCTAATAAACTCTCTGTAAGTAATTAGTTATGATCAAAATTTAATAAGAACATTTTTATATTTGCATTTGCAATATTTGCACGAATGTAGTGTTTATACAGAGACCATCGAAAGGTGGTTTTTTTCAAGTTTCTGCTTTTTTTCGTTGTTTTGAGTTTATTTTCTTTTGAACGCCTTATCAGAATTAAATGAAATTGGTAACCTAGAAACGTTCCTGGAATTCGTACGTGCATCCCGTTTTTGAAAAACTAGCTTTATATAATATAACCAATATAACAGCAATATATATAAACATGCTCCTTACTCGAAAATAAGATACGTACCGCGGCGAAGTATGCTAGAAAAAAAAAACACGAAAACTCGCCGGATGATTCCTGGAATTGGTAGAGAGGGACGCAAGCTCGGACCGTCTAAACACTATCTTATTTGCCGTACTAGTGTAGAAATCAAGTAGCAGAAATCAAAATACGCGATATTATATTAACAATCACTTTTCGATCGAAAGAGGAATCACTGATATTAAAACCATAATCGGTGAATATATAGTCATATTGTGTCATCGAATATTGGTAAGAAACTTAGCATGCAGTTGACGTACTTGAGCAATTTATTTTCTTACGAACGAATAAGGTTAAATTTTTGCTAAAATAGAATATCGGACATTTATTTCGATTTTGTCGTAATCATGGAAATGTTATTAGATTTAATAGTATTAATGTTTGATTTTTATCGTTTTAAATTTAGTAATGAGACCGTGGCAATTGGCACCCCTGTTGCGTCGCATTTCCGTTAGTCAATGAGTAGCAACCGTCACGAATAGTCGAATTTTTTTAAGAGCGAAGAACGTCAAGCGATTATGTTGAAATAAAGTCTCTCGCAAATAATCGATATTTAATCGGTGTATATGAATCGCAGGTAACATTGAGTTTCTTTCTTCGACGAACATAGAAATATTATTTGTTTGTAAAAACGTTCGTTACTAAATCTTCCATAGTCGCGAAAATACGCAGTGTAAAGTATAAGTATGTTCTTCTCCAAAAACATAGCTACCGCGAGAAGCGTATATTCGAAGAAAACAGATAACGCGGAGACTCGCCGGCCAATTCCTGGAATTGGTGGTGGGGGATGCGAGCTCGAGTTATATACACAACTTCACGTACCGTGCTAGAGCAGTCAACATCAATCTATCGAGCGCGCGCTCGCGAAATATTATATTTTACTTACGTCTAGAAAACTAATTTTGCGTGTACGTACAATCAAATCAAAGTATACGATATTCATTCGCAGTTACTTTTCGATCGACGGACGATTTTGATAATCACGCGTATTCGCTATTTCCTATGTACATGGATTTCGGAAATTGGGCCGAGAAAAATATCGGACGAAATACATCGTGATTGTACCGTGTGTTCTAATGTAACTGCCACGAATGATAGCGAATAGTGTGATACGCAACGAATGGAATATAACGAATGTGACACAACAGATAGATCGGCGAGCGTAAAAATGTGTCGTCGGGAGTGCCGAATAAAAGTATCGGGCGATTATTGATTACGCGAATGCAACTGGTGCGAATATACACGTATACCGGTAATCGATATCCGATCGAAAATATATCAAAGCGCGCGCAAAAATGTCGAGAGAAGTATAAGTATCGCGGCTTCGTGTTTTTTTTTTTTTTTTTTTATAATGGTTAATATCTAAATAAATAAATAAATACATTTCTGAAAATATCGTGCAATCGTCGAATTTTGAACATCGTGATGAATCGTACCAAACTTATTTAACCGTGTGTGACAATAACTGATATCTAGTCGACTATGCTTCAATTACTTGTGCGATAGATCATCGATTATTAA